AAACTAACCAGTGATTAACTTTTAATTTTCCTCTTACTAACAGCTTCCCTTCCTTTAACAAAGTTGGTTTTTAAAACATCCTCCATACTCAAATTCCTTTTAACTAATACTCCAACTTGTCAAGAAGTCTGGCATTCTCTTTTCAGAAAAGAGCAAATATTAGGGAAAAGTAGTGTGTGGTCCTTCATAACAGGAGTTACATAACAATTACAATCCAGGAACCAGACATAATAAGAGTACAAAGAGTAGAATACTAGAACGTAAAAACAGGGAGAATGTACTCAAACAAACAAAAATAAAAAAAAATTCCAGGCAGCTTTTCACTAAGGGGAACAGAGGTGTAGTGGTTACTGTTCCTTGCGGCTAGGACACACCATATCACTTGGAGATGGCATGTTTCTGTCCAGGTTGATAGTGGCTGCACACTCCATCATGTGTATGTTGTTTAGGAGGTGTAAGAAAAAGGGATCAATTCCACACAATGCTATTAGGGAGACAGGCAATACCGACAAAGATGTTTACTTAAATCTACTCACAGAATAAAAATAGCCCTTAACATTTGTGTGCTGCTGCTCTTTTTCCTGAATGTCTATTTATTTATGAAAATGTTTCTTTATCTCTGCAAGTAATAAGGGTGAACAAATGTTCGTTCAAAATTTCAGAAAAGCAACAGAAAAATACAAAACCTATATATATTCAAACCTGTATCTCAAATGAGTTGGATCTCACATCTGTACAGATTTCCTGAATAATATGAATTAAAAACATGACTCTTTTACTAGAAGCATTACTCATCATTCCTGCTTCCTAAAAATATATCAGAAACACAGACATATTTTAAAGATATCATAAAGTTACTGGGAAGACTTAAGCATCCCCAAATCAAACACTGTCAAAGTCATGATGCTTAAAGCATATCTAATATATGGTCAAAGTATCCTTCCAACCTATAAATTGCATTTAGCTACTTACGCTTAACATATGGTAGTCAAGAGAAATACAACAGCAGAGGTATATAGCTACTTGGAGAATGAATGCATGTGTGAATGTACATACCTGTGTACTTTCAAACATGGAATAGCTCCAGTCTACTCTAGTGAGTTCCAGGTTATTATCCTAAACCTAAAGGAATGCCTTCCCTAGTTGATGAGAGAGAGAGAGAGAGGTGTAAAAGGACATCCAGGTTGTCCTTTGCTTCCCCAATTCCCAGTAAGAATAAATATGAAAAATATGATCAAGAAGTGAAAAAAGGGAAGAACACAAGAGAAGAAAAAAGAAAAAGTTAACTTAATCAGAAATGACAGGTTTGGTTTAAAACAAAAAGATTTATTTATTTATTGTGCAATAAAGTTTTATTGATGATGATGGAGATGGTAGCAATCAGCATTTATTGAGCATTTACCATAGTACAAGGCATTGAACTAAGCACTTTACATACACTGAAGATTTAATCTTCATAAAAACTCTGAAACAGGTAATTTATAAAGAAATGGATACTCATATAGATTAAGTAACTCACCCAAGTTTACACTGTACTAAATTGTAGAGAATATATAAGATACCATCAGTTTGACTTTTAACCATTAAATTTATATTATTTTACAATGAAAATGTGTGAAATTAAGTGATACTTTTGGTACATTGTAATAAATTAATAAGTTATATACATAAGGCCCAACTCGATTTGAGATCCATGATGGCTGCAGACTAGGTGAAATGCTATACTCATATCCTTCCAGGAATTACAACCAAAATATAAAACAATCAACCTGAATACAGTCATCCCTCACCACTTCGCACTTCAACTTTTGCGGTTTCACTTTATTGCAGTTTTTTAAAATATATTCATTAAAAAGTTGATCGAGACAGTGAAAATGATACAGTGTGTGCTTGGTTGTCTGAGTCAATTATACATCCCTGTATTACAATTAAAATTAAAATTACTGTACATATGGACTGTAGGCCTATGTATTCCAGCACCCCAGGAATCCTTCAATGCCAGGTGCAACCGCTAGAGTCTGGAACGGATTAACCACAATAAATGAGGGATGACTGTAACCAACTGAAGACTAGCTGACAGAAGTCTTATAAACAAGGATTTACAGAAAAAGCCACATGGAGACTGGTAGGAAGGTCGGAGATGCAAAAAGGGCTGGCCCCACTCCAACAGGTAGCAGCTGATTTCTGATGAATATCTCAGCTGCAAAGGTTTCTCCTGAGGAGCATGGGGTCTCAGCCCCACACTGGGCTCCCAAGCCCAGAGAACCAGAGGTGGGAAGAGGTGCCCAAATAACATATGGCTGTGAAATCAGGGGAATTATGTGTCAGGGAGAGAAATGAGTCTGCTAGAGGCATAGGCATTCCTCTAAAGAACCAATGCACAAAATGTCATTTGCAGCAACTCATCCTGAGCTCTGGCAGAGAAAGGGCAGAGCGGATTGGAGTCTTGTGATGAGAGACTAGGGGTGTGGCTCTGGGGAGAGAGTTGAGGAAACAGCCACCAACACCCCTGTGCTGAGTCACTCTCACGCACTGCAGATGCTCTCTATCTTGGGTGGAGACTCCCCTCCATACAGCATCAGCCTAGGGAAACACAATAGCCACACCCTCCAGCAATTGCCTAAGCTGGGGTGTAGAGGTCTGAGTAGACTCAGGGGTGTCAGTAACTGAGTGGTATAGCTTTGGGATGGGGGCCATTCCCCCACTTTCCCATGAACCTGACTAGCACCTCCTCCTCAAGAGATACTCTAGCCCCACCCACTGGGCTCTACCTCTGAATAAACACTTCTCTAAAGAAGACATATAGATGGCCAACAGACATATGAAAAGATGGCTCAACATCACTAATCATCAGAGAAATGCAAATGAGATATTGCCTCATACCTGTCAGAATGGCTATCATCAATAAATCAACAAAACAACAAGTGTTGGAAAGGATGTGGAGAAAAGGGAACCCTTGTGCACTGTTGGTGGGAATGCACATTGGTGCAGCCACTAAGGAAAACAGTATGGAATTACCTCAAAAAATAAAAAACAGAACTGCCTTATGACCCAACAATTCTACTACTGGGAGTTTATCCAAAGAAACCTGAAACACTAATTCGAAAGAACATATGCACCCTTATGTTCACTGTAGCGTTATTTACAATAGGCAAGATTTGGAAGCCTCTCAAGTGTCCATCAGTAGATCAGTGGATTAAAAGCTGTGGTACACCATGGAACACTACTTGGCCATATAAAAGAAGGAAATCTTACCCTTTGCAACAGCATGGACAGATATGGAGAGCATTATGCTAAGTAAAATAAGCCAGTCAGAGAAAGACAAGTACCACATGATTTCACTCATATATGAAGTCCAATGAATAACATAAAGAAACAAACAAAATAGCCCTTGCCGGTTTGGTTCAGTGGTTAGAGCGTCGGCCCGCAGACCAGAGAGTCCCGGGTTAGGTTGCCACTAAGGGCACGTACCTCGGTTGCAGTTTGTCCCTGGCCCCGGCTGGGGTCGTGTGGGTGACAACCACTTGATGTGTCTCTTATGTTGATGTTTCTCTCTCTTCCTCCCACTCTATCTGAAGATAAATGCAAAAATGTCCTCGGGTGAGGATAAAAAAAAAAAAAAGAAACAAACAAAATAGAAACAGATTCATAGATACAGAAAACTGACAGCTGTCAGAGGGGAGGAGGTTTGATAGGCGGGATGAAGAAAATGTCGAAGGGATTAAGCAATAAACAAAAATAAAATTCACAGACAATCAAATGGTGATTACTAGAGAAAAGGAAGGGTGGGGGCAGGAGGTAGAACAAGGTAAAGGAGAGACAAATGTGAAGGAAGGAGACGTGAACACATAATACAATATACAAATGATGTATTATAGAATTGTACACCTGAAACCTATATAATTTTATTAACCAATGTCATCTCAATTAACTCAATAAAACTTTTTTACAAGACCGAATTTTCAATTGCCTAAAATTTTAGACATGTAACCTGGGCTAGGCATTGAATTCAGTTAAGGAAGACAGATTTATGCATAACATAATAAATAATGAAAGTGCTAACAAAGAAGTCATAATATTCCCATCCTTCTTTCAATAGCCCTAAATGTTACAAATAATAACATTTCTTCCATTATTCTCTGATCACATCCAGCCATAATAATCTCTCCTTCCTCAGATCTTTCCACCTCGTTCTCACCTCTATTTTTTGTCTTAAAATGAAACAGTCTCATTTGTTTAGAGGAAAAAAGGTCACGCCCCCTTTCCTATTTCAAAAGGATATTTATATTTAAAAATATCTCTCACTGATATCTGCATTTCTCTGTATGCTACCATAAGAAAAACTATTCCATAAAACTCTTTAACCTTTGATAACACATTCAAGTTTTCAAAAACTAATACTACAGAAGAAATCACCATGTAGTACAAAATGAATCCAAAATTCTATTTTGCAAGAGCTAGAATCTAAACACATGCACATGTTTAACTCAAAAACACAAACACAACTCAGGTCATGTCCATATTCCAGTATTGGCTGAACAACAATATTCCTAGCAGGAATGAGGGGGTCAATGAGGAAAAAAGGGGGACATCGGTAATATGTTCAACAATTAAGAAACGAAAAACAGTATTCCTTCAACACATGTATGCAGCCTAAACCACAAAACACCCAGGAATAGCACAAATATCTAAGACATTAAAATCATAATTTTATATGGCTACTACCAATTTTTCCATTGCAGAATTTAAAAGAAGACATTATGAAATGTTCTTGCGAGAAAGGCACCTTACAAGATAAGTTATTTCTTCAAATAAATATCAAAGTAATATGTAAATATGACATCAAAACCTGTCACAAATAAATATCTGTCAATTTGGTAATCCTTAACTTTATTTGAATTGTGTTTAAATTTTCAATCCAGAGAACAAAGACCGTGTTAATGATGGAAGTACAAGACCTAGTTAAAAATACATCATTTCAAAGCACTACCATTTCTTACCTTTGAATCTTCATTGCTCACTCCTAGCTGTAACACAGCTTGAGGAGATTTTAGTTTTGCTTGAGCAGAGTGAGCCATCTGAAGGTTAAGCTGCCATCCGACCGTCTCTAGCTATAAAAGAAAAGTGCAGATTAGAATCAGATGATACAGAAGGAAGAAATCAGACAACTTGAAGCAAATTTCCACTCAGCAGGAATGAACATGGATAGCCTGGACCTCGTGGAAAGTCAGCTCCCAAGCTACTTTAACCTGCATTCTCTGCAAATTCTTGCTTTAGGCTCAGTATATTGGCTTCATACCATGCCTGTCAAATTCAACAGTAAACTGGTCTTTAAATACAATCTAAAAATAAAAGTTCTAAGATTTAGCAATAGAGAACATTAAGAGAGTAAATGGTTTTAAATAGTACATTATTATTTTTAAATTGTATATTTGAAAGTCAATGATTTTTAAATAATTATAAATTTTAACTAGTAAATAGTGTACATTGGTCATAATCACTTCAATGACCTTCCATTATCTTTCAAAACACCTTGCATTAGGTAGAATACAGGTATAAGTTTGTTTATTTTAATTTAGAAGGAAACTGAAGTACCCAGATTGTAAGAGGTTCACACATTTAGACACAGTTAGTGAAAATGGAACAGAGTCAGGCAAAGAATTGCAGGTGTTACCCAATAGGCTATCATGCTTTCTAAAGAATTCTAACTTACTATGGTTCCCAGTTATGACAGAAACTAATTAAAATATTTTCTTTGAATTTATTAATTAACACAACAGCAAAATTTAATCTATACAATAATAGTAGGCAGACTAAAGCAGCATAAATATGGCTTTATTAAACTTGATTATTGGTTTATCCAGCCTCAGAACTGTGAATATAAAATTTTAGATTTAATTTCCAGTAAATCTCGAATATCAATATATAGGGAAGTATTGTGAAATGCAATTGTCATATGCCTTTGACAACATGACTCCAATAATTGATTTAGTAAAAACTACCTTAGCTGCATTGGTAAGAATGGCAGTCTCACAACAACTTTTACTTAACCAGAATACTAATTGCTAACTTTGAAAGCCTGTTCAACAGCTAGAATCACAGCAGAGACTCAAAGCCAAATTGGAAAGAGAGCAATGGAAGTATTATCGAGAGGATGTGATGTGAAAATAAAGATACAGCTCTGTTCTCTTTGGCACTGAACCTTTTAGAAGTTATGGGTAAGATGGGGAAAGATGTTGCAGAAACATAATCCATAACACCACAAGTAAATTATCAATTTAATAGTCATGTTAAGTAAGGACCCTTAATGTATTGATCTTTAACACAGATTACAGTAAGCACAGTCTCTAATACCAGCCCACCACAATAGACCTTACAATAACACAGGAAAAAACCATGATATAACCACTCTCATCCATATAAGCATATATACATGTCACCTTCTATGAATTCATATGAACCTATAAGACACTGTTTTGATCTCATTTAACTGATCCTATCCCTGTCCTGTAAGCACTTAAGATAAATGATAAAGATGAATACTGCTTTAAGTGAATAAATTAGGCATACCCCCACTGTGGTCAGAATTTTGATTAAATTAATGTATGCTTAGTTGCTGCATAGAGGTGGTGTGGGAGAATTAAAAAGAACTTAAAGCTTATGTCTGGTTCATACTTAAGCTGTCACTCACTAGCTATGTAACCCTGGTTAAATTACAATGTCCTAAGCTCTCAATTTCCTCATGTGAAATGGAAATAAATCTATCTGATCTATCAACTTTTCTGAGTTATTGGTAATATCAAATAAAAAATGCATATTCAAAGTGTTTTGGAAACTGCAAAGCATTATAAATATAAGGCATTTTGATCACCTAATTTTTTTCTTTTAACTAGAATGGGTACTTTATATATAGATTAAATTGAATTGAAATGAATCAAAGAACACTCACAGGAAAGAAACTGAACCACACACAAAAACTAAGTTAAGTGGATTAGAGAGTTGAACATAAGACCTGAAATCATAAAACTCCTAGAATAAAACGTAGGCAGTAAACAGTTTGACAATGGTCTTGGCAATCATTTTTTGGATTTGACACCAAAAGCAAAGGCAACAAAAGCAAAAATAAACAACTGGAACTACATCAAACTAAAAAGGTTCTGCACAGCAAAGGAAACGATCAACAAAATGAAAAGACAACTTACCAAATGGGAAAAATATTTGTTAATCATATATCTGTAAGGGGTTAATATCCAAAATACATAAAGAACTCATATAACTCAAAAGCACAGAAACAAAAAAAAATCCAATTTAAAATGGACAGAGGATCTAATAGTTATTTTTCCAAAGAAAGCATACAGATGGCTAACAAGTACCTGAAAAAGTGTCCAACATCACTAATCATCAGGGAAATACAAATCAAACCACAATAAGATATCACCTCCCACTTTAGAATGCCTATTACCAAAAAGACAAGAATAACAAGCATTGACATGGGTGTGGAACCCTTGTACTGTTGGTGGGAACTTAAATTGGTGCAGCTACTATCAAAAACAGTATTGAGGTTCTAATAATAATAATAATAAAACTACCATATCATTCAGTAATTCCACTTCTGGGTATTCATCCAAAAGAAATGAAAACACTAACTCAAAAAAATATCTGTACCCCATGTCCACTGCAACATTATTCACAATAGCCAAGACATGGAAGCAAAGGTACAAACTTCCAGTTATAAATTAAATAAGTTCTGGAGATACAATGTACAACATGGTGACCACAGGTAATAATATTGTATTGTATATTTGAAAGTTGCTAAGGGAGCAAATCACAAGAAAAAAAATGTGTAAACATGTGTGGTGATGGATGTTGACTAGACTTACTTTGGTGATCATTTTGCAATATTTACAAATATCAAGTCATTATGCTGTATACCTGAAATAAATGTTATATGTCAATTATATCTAAATTTTTTTAAATGACACAACTACATGCTATCTGGAAAGAAACACTGAATATAATGAGCTAGGTGGTTTGAAAGTAAAAATGATACAAAATGATACATTATGAAAATGTTAAAACAAAGCAGAAAGGACTATGAAATTAACAAAGATAAAAAACATTAAGTAACACTCTGGACAATGTTGTTCATCCCATATTGGTTGGAGTGTCATCCCATACACCAAAAGGTGGCAGATTTGATTTCTGGTCAGAGCACATACCCAGGTCGATCCTGGGCACATCCAGGAGGCAACCAATTGATGTTTTTATCTTGTATCAATGATTCTCTTTCTTTCTCTTTCTCTCTCTCTCTCCCTTCCTTTCTCTAGAATCAATAAACATATCCTCAGGTGAGGATTTTAGAAAATTAAAACAAAACAAAAAACATTAAATAACAATGAAAAGATAAATTAAGACAAAGCAATGCTGAATGTCCTAATATACATGCACCAAACAATAAAGCTGTAAAGTATGTGAAACAAAAATTGATGGAACTAAAAGAAGTAACTACAATTACAGTTAAAGACTTCAACGCTTGCTTCTCAGCATTGATAGAATAACTACACAGAAAATCAGCAAGAATGTAGAATTTAACATCATCATCAAACAAAAGAATCTAATTGATATTCACAGAACACTCCGCTCAGCAGAAAACACATTCTTTTCAAGCACCCACAGAACATACACCAAAACAGACTATATTCTGGGTCATAAAACTGAATATTTTCTCTAATCTATTTAATGGTACCAAACTAGAAATGAATAATAGAAAGATAAGAGGAAAATCCCCAAACACTTAGAAACTAAATAACATACTTTCCAATAATCCATGAGTCATAAAGGAAGTCTCAAGTAAAATAAAAATATACATTGAAAATGAAAACAAGGTGTATCAAAATTTGCATGAGACAGCTAAAGCAATGCTGAGAGGAAAAGTTAAAGCACCAAATGCTTAAATTTGAAAAGAGAAAAAAACTCTCACATCAATATTCGAAGAACCTCAAGAACCATTGGCAAAAATAATTATCCTCAACCAACTCACACAGCTTATACAAAAATTAATTCAATATAGATCATGGAGATAAAATATATATATATAAAATTTTTATTAAGAAAAAAAATGAAGCAAGGAGTTCTTAGATGATCTAGGGCAAGAGAAAGAGATCTTGGGCTTGACACCAAAAGCAAAATCCATTAACAAAAAAAAATTTAAAAACTGATTTTCCTCAAAATGAAAATGTTTTGCTCTCCTCATGTCCCTATTAAGATGACAAGAAGTCAAGCTAAAGACTGAGAGAAAATATTTACAAACCAAATATTTCAGAAAATATCTATCTGAAAAAATCAGTATCTAAAATATAAAAATATATAAAGAATTCTCAAACCTCAACAGAAAAAAAAGTAATCCAATCATTGTGCAAAATACATGAAGAGACATTTCACTGAAGAAGATATATAGATGTCAAATAAACACAAGAAAAATATTTCGGCCTCATTATTTATCTGGTAAATGCAAACTGAAACTACAATGCTATATCACTATACACCTATTAAGAAGTTAAAATAAAAAATGATGACAACTCCAAATGCTGGCAAGGATTCAAAGAAAGTGGATCTTTTATACACTGCTGAAGGGAATTCAAAATGGTTTGATAGTTTCTTATAAAACTAAACATATAACTACCATATGACCCAGCAATTGCACTCCTGAACACTTATTATAGAGAAATAAAACTTATGCTCATGCAAATCCTATACAAAAATGTCCATAGCAACTTTATTTGTAATGGTCAAAAACTGGAAAAAAACTCGGATCTCTTTCAAAGATTGCTTATGCAATCTGTTTTATATACATACCACAGAATACAACTTAGCAATAAAAAGGAATTAATAACTATTAATTCATGTAACTACCAGAATAAATCTCCAGAGAACTAGGGTGAGTGAAAAAAAAAAAAAAATCAATCCCAGAACATTACATACTGTATGATTCCATTTATTTAACATTTTTTTGAATTCATAGAAAATTATAAATGGAGAACAAATTAGTGGTTGCCTGAGGGGAATGGGGTGGCCATGAAAGAAAAGTGGGTGCAGCCATATAAGGGTAACA